ACCCAACCATGCTGATCAACTGAACGCTGCCTCTGTGTCATTCATTCCTTCTTTGCCGACTCCGTCCACACCTTTGGGAACCCCTGGACCTGTTGGGGCTGGACCCCAACAATGGGGTGTGAGGGAGGCGGCCAGTCGGCAATTCTCTCTCATCATTGATGTTTCTATCTATCTCTCCATCTCCCTTCCTCTCTGAAAAAAATAAAAATTAAAATTAAAAATTAAAAATAAATAGTGACAGTCTACTAAATAAACTTCACAAGACACAAATGGATCAAAAACAGTCATTTAGAAGACGCTGGTCTGAGGGAGCAGTCGCTGCATAAAGGCTCTGACTTGTCTTGGTGGCGTGAGAGCCAAGGCCACGCTGGGCCCAGCACTTGGCTCCAGGGAGGATTCTGTACTGACGGAGCATTTCAGAGCTGTGCACGGGGTCAGGGGACCCACCATGTTGACGAGATGCCCAGCTCCAGGCACAGTGGGGAGCCCTTGGCACCCAGTCCCATGGTGGGGTGTGGTAGCCCTGCTATTGCCTCTTCCTCTGGAAGCAGGGCAGGGCCAGTTTTATTTTTTCAGAGGTGAATGGAGGTTACCTGATGTTGATTTTGTTTTCTTTCATCTTTCTTCCCAGGAATTTAAAAACACACTAAGCAGGTGAGTGGACCTAATAGTTCCTCGTGCCCCTCTTAGCCGGTTCTTTCCCACGCGTAGCCTCTTTATCCCCCACCCCCAGCCCCTCACCTCCCACGGCCCCACCGCCTTATCTGGTACCTTCTGAGGCAGGAGTCCCTGTGCCTGGTGTGGGTGTGGGCATGAGACCAGGCTCGCCTTTTTCTGCGTCTCCCCGCCAAGGGGGCCTCGCCGTGCTAATGGTGGGAGTGGGACAGTGTTCGTGGGCCTTCCTCCTCGTCCTGCAGGTGCAGCAACGTGCCGGCCCCCAAGCCAAGCACAGTCTCTTCTGAGATGAAGAATAAAGTCTGGAACGTTTCCCTCAAGACCTTTGTCTTAAAGGGGCTGCTCAAGAAGTTCAAAGGTAGGCCCAGGTGTGGGGCTGGGCCATGAGGTGGGTGTGGGGTGTGGTTTTGGAGGTTTGGGGCCCAGAGATGTGCCTTTCCGGAAGCTGTGTGAGCACAGCAGAGCTGGGGTATGTGGTAACGAGCTTACTCAGGCCCCCGCGGCGCAGAGCTCCCCCCGGGGACCGACAGGATAGAGGGGCATTGGGGGCGGACGAGGATGGGGAAGGAGATCCCAGCTCTGACCAGCTCCGGGCAAAAGAGGGGAAGCTGGACAGGACAAGCCAGGATCCTGCCTCTCCCGCACCTGCGCTGGCCCGGTGCCTCAGGCCTGCCTGGGAGCAAGTGAGCCAGCGGGCCACCCGTGTCAGAGGAGGTGCAGTCACTGTCGTTGTCAGACAATCTCGCTGTCATTCACCCACACCTGCTTGGTTTCTCCTCAGAGGACCTTCGTGGAGAGCTGGAGAAAGAGGAGAAAGGTACGGTAGCTGTGGGGGCAGTGAGTGCCTGTTACCTGCCTCATGGGGAATTCACTCCCTGCGGGCGGGCGACTGTCTCTCTGGGCTCTGTGTGCGGGTGGTTCCCTCTGCCCGCCCACCGCCCACCTCCGTGCCTGCCATCTATTCCCCTTCCCTGTCCATACCTCACAGCGCCCACTCCCGCAGGCCACGGGGGGCCTATAGGCTTGTGGCCCGGAGCAGGAGTGCCCTGCCCCTCAGGATGCTTAGGTTGGGGAAGGCTTGTCAGTCACCTACACAAGCCCCTCTCTCCCCTGTCCCCACTCCCAAACTTACTGAGGCCTCTTCTGGGGACCGGAGTTGTGTGCAGGGGTGAGGGGAAGCAGGAAGAAACCGAGGACAAGGGAGGTGGTTCTTACTCCTGCGGAATTCTGGGTGAGTGGGACCCAACCCCACAGGGAGGGGAGTGGGGGTCCAAGCCAGACTTTGCCTGGAAAGAATCTAAACCAGCTGAGTCAGACTGTGCCCCTCCTGTGCACAGAGCCCTGCACAGGCCCCTCTCACTCAGCAAAGGCTGCAGTTCTCCAGCCACCCTTGGGCCGCCCTGCACGCGCTCCCCGGGGGCATCCTGTTCCCCGAGGGAGCTGGAATGCACCAGCACACACTTCCCTGGGCTGGACATGCTGCACCAGACGGCCGCCTGTCTGGTGTCTTCACTTCTCTGTGTCTTCGCCTAAATGTACCTTTTCAGTGAGGCCGTCCTTGGCCTCTCTAGTTGAAATCACAGCTGCTGTCCTGATCCCTCTTCTATATTTTTTAAATTATTTATTGTCTCTCCTCCCCTCTCCCAAGAAAGGAAGCTGCAGGAGGGCTGGGATTCCCAGGGCCTGCACATAGGAGGCCTGGAACACTTACAAGTGTGCATATTTGAGCTTTTTCTTTTCTTTCATATATATATATATACACACACACACACACACACACACACACACACATATGTATATATTTCAGAGAGGAAGGGAGAGGGAGAGATACAAACATCAATGATGAGAGAGGATCATTGATCAGCTGCCTCCTGCACACCTCACACCCTCACACTGGGGATCGAGCTCTCAACCCCGGGCATGTGCCCTGACCGGGAATCAAACTGTGACCTCCTGGTTCATAGGTCGATGCTTAGCCACTGAGCCACGCCGGCCAGGCTCTAGCTTTTTCTTATGGAAAATTTCAAACATATGCTCAAGTAGAGAGATAAGCATAACAAATATTACATGCTCATCATACACCCTCAGCAGTTACCACTGACACCCCTGCTTATTTCTTCCTACTGGACTATTTTGAAGCAAATCACAGATAATATCATTTCCATAAATATTTCAGTATTTGATCTCTAAAGGGTTAAAGTATATTTATATTTTATTGATTTTTTTACAGAGAGGAAGGGAGAGGGATAGAGAGTCAGAAACATCAATGAGAGAGAAACATCGATCAGCCGCCTCCTGCACACCTCCCACTGGGGATGTGCCCGCAACCAAGGTACATGCCCTTGATAGGAATCGAACCTGGGACCCTTGAGTCCACAGGCTGATGCTCCATCCACTGAGCCAAACCGGTTAGGGCGTGGAGAGACTTTTTAAAAAATATATATTTTATTGATTTTTTACAGAGAAGAAGGGAGAGGGATAGAGAGTTAGAAACATCGATCAGCTGCCTCCTGCACACCTCCTACTGGGGATGTGCCCACAACCAAGGTACATGCCCTTGACTGGAATCGAACCTGGGACCCTCTATCCACTGAGCCAAACTGGTTAGGGCTCTAACGAGAGACTTTTAAAAATACATATATGTTTATATTGATTTGAGAGAGAGAGGAAGGTGGGGGGGCAGGGGAGAGAAACATTTCCATCGGCTGCCTCCTGTACGGGCCTGCAACCCGGGCATGTGCCCTGATCGGGGACCTCTTGGTGCATGGGATGCTCAACCAACTAAGTCACAGCGGCCAGGGCTAAAGAGATAAAAAACAACCGAAAAACCATCATCATAATTAGAAAAATTGATGATTCTTTCCAGTATCTAAGTTCTACAGTTTGATTTCGGATGTACTTGTTGGGGGCAGGGGTAGGGGTAGGGTGTGGGGGTGGGCAGGAAGGGGGCAGGGGCTGTGCAAGGGGCCTGCAAGGGCCATCTCTCCCTGACTCCCCCACTGCAGTGGAGCTGACCTTGGACCCGGACACGGCCAACCCCCGCCTCATCCTCTCGCTGGATCTTAAGAGCGTGCGCCTCGGACAGCGGGCCCAGGACCTGCCCAACCACCCGCGTCGCTTTGATACCAACACGCGAGTCCTGGCGTCCTGCGGCTTCTCCTCCGGGCGGCACCACTGGGAGGTGGAGGTGGGCTCCCAGGACGGCTGGGCCTTCGGAGTGGCCCGCGAGAGTGTGCGCCGCAGTGGGCAGTACTGGGCCGTGACCAGCCCCGAGCGGACACCCCTCAGCTGCGGCCACCTGTCCCGTGTGCGGGTGGCGCTGGACCTGGAGGTGGGGGCCGTGTCCTTCTACGCTGTGGAGGACATGCGCCACCTCTACACCTTCCGTGTCAACTTCCAGGAGCGTGTGTTCCCCCTTTTCTCCATCTGCTCCACAGGCACCTACCTGCGCATCTGGCCTTGAGAGACACTGCCCGGGCCCCCAGAGGGAGGGGGCCGTCCAGGGTGCAGCCTTCTCCTGGCCACCCCTGGGAAAGGACGGAAGCTCCGGCCGGGCTTCCTGCTCACGTTGGGTCTGCCCTTCACCCTTCCTGCCCCCGGCTGCCTTAGGCTTCAGGAGACCAAGCAGCAGAGGCAGGAAGGCCTTGGCCCCCAGGGCCTGTCCCCTTCCTGGCATGTGGCTTTGGTACCAGCTGCTCAGGGGGTGAGGACAGGAGCCCAGCTGTCGACAGGGCTGCTTCCTGTCCGGGGGCTCACTGCTCAGACTCAGCAGCGCCTCTGGCTCCCTGGAGCAGCACCAAGCCCTGGGCCTCTGTCGGCCTCAGTTGCAAGGGGCATATTTGGGGCCAGGCCGGCCAGGTTCATGATCACTTCTGTTTTGCCTTCTTGTCAGCTGCCAGCTGCCTTCAGGGACCTGAGTCCAGCTGGCTCACCACACCGTCTACTCAGGGAGGAGCACTGTGCTCCCAGCTCAGAGGACAGTCTGGGCCAGAACTGGAAGCAGAGGGAAAAGCCCCAGACGACACTATGTAGGCATGGCTACCCTCTGACACCCAGGAACTGATGATCTTCGGCCACAGTGGCGGCCACGTGTTCTCACAGATGCCTAAACCCCTCTCAAGTGCCAAAGTGCAGTCTCCCTGGGTAAGGAGACAGAAGGTTCTGGAATTCTGAAATACCGGAGAGCACTTACAGTTTTACAGGTGCCGCTAGCACCAGCGTGGAAGTGCAGAGCAGAAGCATGCCCCTGGCGGATTCTTTCTGGAACTTGCCGAACGTGTGCCACCAGCAGAGGACCCTGGTGGCTGTAAGGCTGGGCTTCTGGGAGGGTGGTGGGGGGCTGTTCCTTGCGTAGTGCTCCCCGGGAATGGAACTAGAGATGGAAATACAGACTACGAGTTCGTTTCTACAGTGGCTTAGCTCATTCTTGACTTACCCTGCCCGAGTGCAAGAGCACACGTGTGAGCAAGGATTTCTGCCAGATGAGGTGAGCGTGTGTGCGGTGTGAGAAATGTGCGCAGGTGTTTATATCGGATTGCAGGACAGCGGGGCGTGTGGGTCTTGGAGAGGGTATGTATGAACACATGCATAGGGTGTAGGTGTTGAAACTGACCGAGGTCAGTCAGGTCAGACCCTATTATTGACTTCTGGTTAAATATCAGCCACCCCGTATGTAGTTGATGGCCACAGGTTTCCAACCCCACCAGATCCCCGGCTGGATGGAAGCCAGTTGCTGACCTAGTTCTGCCTACCCAGGTGGTTCAGGCAGATGCAGGGACGGCCGTCAAGTAGCTGGTCTGCAGGCGTTGTGGAGCTCCTGTACTCTGTCCCTTGAGATGCTTCAAGCACACTGTGTACAGGTCCTTGTTAGGACAGGCATGACCCTGTGGTTTGAGAGGCCGACCCAGTGCTCACAGCAACAGGCAGTCAGAATCCAGTGTCCCACAGGCAGGGACGGGACAGATGAAGAGTCTAGCCCAAAGCAGCATTCCAGAAGGTGAATCCGATGCCCTCTTCATACACGGAGTGCAGCTCTAGAACACTGTAGCCAACCAACGTATTTGAAGATCACTGATTTCCACCACGGAAACCTGTGGCTTTTGAACTGAGTGTCGCAATTACCCTTTATGTCATCTAGCAACTATGCCGAAGTATTGTAACACAGGTTGCAGGTCACAGGAGATGGGGTGACTGGTGGAGGCCCTGTAGGGCCAGGACTGGGGACTGCAGGGGTGGGTGGCTGTGTGTATCCTCAGCTTTTGTGTTTGTGTGTCTATCAGTTTATAGAATAACTGCATAGATTTCTATGCATCTGAAGAGATGTTAACAGTTACACATAATAACTGCACATGGAGGGCGCGAGAGATGTTCTCTCGGTCACCAGGGCAGCGGATGACTTTGGAAGTCACGGTGCTGGCGTGAGAGTGTGTGTGCATTTTTCTCTTCCATCTTTTGGGCATCCTAAGATGTCAGATTTCTGAGCCTCTGAGAGCAGTGACTGGCCTAACTTGGGCTCTTCTGACCCCAACTCTTAGTCCCAGGTCCTTGCGAGCTCAGAGCTGTGAGGACCTAGGTCCTTGCCACCAGACTCACACAGCTCTTCACGGGCTGGAGGTCACCTGGGGCCTGCTTTTGGCCTGGCCGTCCAGTGACCTCAGTCATCCGGCCTTGCAGGGCATAGGGCAGGTTGGACAACCAGGCCAACGTGCACCATCTACCTGCAGCCACCACTTCCTGGCCATTGCCAGGCGAGGGCTCCTGTCCCTGACCTGGGCTCTCACCCTCCCCTGCCCTCAACTCCGTGTGCCCTTTTGGGGGCTCTGATCGGACCTGTTCCCCAAGAATCCAAGGGGGGCCCTAAGGATTGTCTCTTCCTAAAGGTGCCGTAGGGGCTCGGGGCCCAGGGCCCTGCCTCAGTCCTTGGTCCACCCACTTCCTCACACTCAGCCATTCTGATTTCTCCATCACTATCAGCTTGACTCCTTCCTGATCCCACCTCCACCCCCCACTCCGCCGCTCCCTCACGTGCCCGCCTACCTTACCAGCCCCCGGACCTCGATTCCCCCCAGGACAGACCTATTAACATCCTTCCTTCCCCAAACTCCTTCTCCGAAACCCTGACCCAGCACCTGATCCTCACGCACAATTAGCTGCACAGCCCTGCCCTCCACGGGTGCTGGGCCCTGACCCCGCAGAAGCGTGGACGAGCTGGGACCTCCTCACAGCCCCGCCCA